TGGTTTCTGTTGCCTGCAGCTAAGAATGTTACCTTATATAGAAATTGGTGTCAGAAGTGGTGGCAGGCCGTGGATGTTGAGACGCCGAAATTGGTTATGTGGATGCTTGGGGCTCAAGTCAGTGAAATGTCAGCACGTGGGAAGGGATCAAATCCGGAAGCCTGTGGCAGGCAGGGAAACAGGATGTCGGCTTTGCCACCTGGATCCACCTGGAATGATGAGCCCCAGGAAGACAAAGCTTCATTGAGAACTCACTGCGTTCGTTTGAAGAGAACGAAAGGAATGAGGAATCAGACCGTGGAGGGCATGAGCTCTCACAGCGCTGAGCAGCTATAGGAGCAGGAGACAGTCTTTGAAATACCGAAATTCTTGGCTCAAGACCCAGATCAAAAACTGAGGACTTCTACGACTGTACTAAAAAATGTTTCTTAATTCTTGCAACCCAAGGCTGAGATGGCTGAAAATGAAACTCAAGCTTACTGAATGGCAAATTACATCATGAGTGGATGCCATGGCCTCACCAGCTCCTGGGATTCTAGACAATCGAACTGCCCTAAACCCCTGTACCCGCGGAGCCTCCTTGCCGGCTGGGCTGCCTCTTCTCACTGTCTGTTGAGGCTGTACCGACCAAAGCAGGGACTCTGTAATGACAGCCTCCCCCATGTCTACCATCCACGGTGTCTTCAGACTGAGGCAGGATTAAATATCAACCCCAAACTAAAATCTGCAAAACTTTTACATCATCGAAAATCTGGAGACCATGTGTGAACGGATTCTGAGGATACACACCAAGCCAGGGAAAACAATTTTTTTATTGAGCAGAAAGAATTAATGCTGCACCCCCAACCAATGGCTCTGGAGTCAGGGTGCCACATCAGTTGGGGGGTGGCTCCACTTGTTCCTACTGCTGGTTTGTTGGATGGCAGGTGAGCTGAAACCCATCTCAGAGGTAGCCCACCCTCCTGGAGATGACAGAAACACCGAGGTATAATGTAGAGACAGAGGAGTGGACGAACCATGGATGACCTACCATCCCTAGTTATGACCCCTTGGGAGACCCCAAAATACCATCCTAAACCAAGACAGAGCTGACCACCTTATTGAAGAGCCCAACAGCCCTAAAAGTGTCTCAGTGTCTGAGTGAGTGGCTCGCCTCCTGATTTCTGGAGTGAAAGCCAAGACCCTGGGATGGCAGGAGTCCAGAGGTGGCAATGACAGCCCCAGGCAGGGTGGGCACATTGCCCTGGCAGGCAGGAGGACCAAGCGGTTGTCCCAACAGTCTGACCAGCAAGGATGGTAGGGCTAATGGGTCACAAGTTTCCCAGGGTAAAAATGGATCAGCAACCCACAAGTACCTGTGGCTTTTACAACCAGAAAAGTCTGGGTTTGGTAAACAGAGGTCCGACTTGAGTCTGCAATCCTCACCACTGTCTCCTGGACAGAGACACATGGTCCTTCCCCGAGTCCCAGACCCGAGCCAGTTTGCAGACCCAGAACTCTTTCCACGAAGGAAGGACTTGACATTGCATCTGGGGTCTGTCCTGTGGCTTTCCCTCCCAAGGAAACTGTGGACTGTGGCCATTTATCACGTGTATGGGAGAACTTACTGTACACTGAGGACTTGGAGGGGTGAACCTGGCTGAGTCTTTGTTTCCTTATCTGTAATAGCATCTGCCTGCAAGGACTGTCAGGTTTATCAAGGAGATAACGGGGGATAGTGCCTGAGTAGAGATGCGTGCATTGGCTGCAGCTGGGCTTTCAACTCCTCTGTGATTTGTGTTCATTCTTTCGTGCCCATCTTCATTCCGCCACACTGTGATGGGCCTGTTGTTTGGGTGCTGAGTGGAAAGGATAATAATGCCTGCCATTGACAGACCAGCCAGATAGGAGACCCTTCCTCTTCCATCTGGCCTCACCACCCTCGGCATTCAGCCTTCACCTCATGATACAACGTGGCTGCTTCAACACTCGTGTCTATATCACAGCCAACAGTGCAGAGAAAAGGATGAAGAAGGGAATGAATGCCATTTTAGCCCGGCGACTTTTTTTTTTTTTTGAGTTGGCGTCTCACTCCATCGTCCAGGCTGGAGTGTAGTGGCACACTCACAGCCACCCCAGCATCAACCTACTGGGCTCCAGCGATCCTTCCGCCTCAGCCTTCTAAGTAGCCAGAACTACAGGCGTGTGCTACCATGCCCGGCTATTTTTTTTTTTTTAATTGTAGAGACAAGGTCTCACCAAGTTGCCCGGGCTGGTCCCAAACCCACAGGCTGAGGCAATCCACTCGCTTTGGCCTCCCAAAGTGCAGGGCTTACAGGCTGAGCCACTGAGCGCAACCAACTCAGCGATTAATTTTTTTTTTTTTAGTTGGAGTCTCACGCTGTCACCCAGACTGGAGTGCAGTGGCCGCTCCCGGCCACCGCAGCCCCGACCTGCTGGGCTCAGGCGATCCTTCCACCTCAGCCTTCCAAATAGCCAGAATTACAGGCATGCGCTACCACGCCTGGCTGATTTTTTGATTTATTGTAGAGATGAGGTCTCGCTGCCCAGGCGGGTCTCCAACCGGTGGGCTCAGGCAATTCACTCACCTCAGCCTCCCAAAGGCATGGGATTACAGGTTGAGCCGCCGAGCCCGACTTAATTTTATTTTAGTTGGAGTCTCACTCTGTCACCCAGACTGGAGTGCAGTGGCCGCTCCTGGCACCGCAACCTCGACCTGCTGGGCTCCAGCGATCTTTCCACCTCAGCCTTCCAAGTAGTCGGAACTATAGGCGCGTGCTACCACGCCCAGCTAGTTTTTGATTTACTGTAGAGACAAGGTCTCGCCAAGTTGCCCAGGCGGGTCTCGAACCTGTGGGCTCAGGCAATCAACGCCTCGGCCTCCCAAAGTGCTGGGATTACAGGCTGAGCCACCGAGCCTGGCCATCCCGGCGATTCTTAAGGCCCACCAGGCCCCTGCATGGTCTACAGACTCTGCAGTGCTGCTGCCTGGGATGGCATCCAGAGGAGCGGGAGACACAGGCATCTCTGCCCAGGGAGTTCCTGTAGCCATCCACAAATGGCCCAGCTGCTGGCAGCTGCCAGGGTGCCCTCCAGCTGACCTCTAGCTGCCGTCTCCTCCTCCCAGTCAGATCCTTCTCTCGAGAAAGGAGGGTCCTACAGTCAGGATCGGGCAGGCAGGGGCAGTGGTTTCCCGGTAAAGTCTTCTGATCTGCACTGTCCACCCACACCAGGGGCAGACTCCACTTCCTCAAGTGCAGGGCTGGGAATCCCAAGGAGTTTAAATCAAGTTGCCATAAAAGTTCCTGGCAGTAACAGGCACGTGGTACAGGTTCAAGGTGAGTGAGTGAGTGAGTGAGTGAATCAGTCAGTCAGTGGTGAGGAGCCCAAGTGTTACGCAGTCTAACCTCAGCCAGGTTGCCACCCAGCTTCCCCTTACACACTTCCAGTGACAAGGAGCTCACTACTTCCAAGGGCAAAATGACTTTAGTGTTAGATTGTCTTCATGAGCCAGATTCTCCACTCCTGGGCTCCCCATCAACCCTGGTCCACACTGCAGGTGGGACCAGAACATGTTCAGCATCTTTTTCATGGGCTGGTACCCAAGTCTTCGAGCAAGAAAGCCCAGAGCCCTGGCGCTTAGCGGCCACGCGCCTCTTCTCATCTGTTTCAGTGAGACCCTGGCCACACTGGGGCTGTGACTTATCCAGGGTCACGCCGGCTGAGCCAAGACCAGACACCAGCCCCAGCTTCCAGCTGCTTCCTTCCAAATCCCACAGCCCCTCGGGGCCCTCCTCCAGCCTTCCCCACCATGGGGGTCCTCTTCTCACAGCCCACCCACGATGCTGCGATCCACTTCCCTATGGAGACCCTCTCGCCATCGCCAGGGACTGGCAGAGGTCCGGGACATGGGATCCATGGTCAGGAGCTGTCCTCGGACCCAGGCCAACAGAGTGGGTTCCCCCCATCAAGCTGCAGGCCGCATGTGTGCATGTGTGAGCGCATGTGTGTGCGCGGGGTGTGTGTGATCACGCCTGGTTCTCCCGGAGCGTGAGGCGCACGCAGCAAGCTGTCGGCACATCCTGCCAACGCGGAAAGGTTAATCGTCACACGCGATGCCAGCACACAGACCTCCGGAGGATTCGTTTGGTTTGGTTTTGTGGTTATTTTTTTTTTTACAACTTTAAATACGGAATATAAATAAATTTTACATTTAAAAAATAAAAGGAAAGCCCCCAAAAATATAATCACCGACTTTACAAACTGAAGGAAGCAGAGTTTGGAGGAGGGGAGGGGGAAAGTGCAGAGGAAGGTGGGGGGGCGGGAGCTCAGACCCACCCCTAGGGGGCCTTGGGACCTTTTCCCTTCTCCCCCCCTCCCTGCTCCCAGCCCATGAGCTAGCTTCCTGGGTGGAGCCACCGAGGTGCAACTCGGAGGGATTTAAGGTGGGATGTGTGCAAGCAGGGAGAGGTGTGGGGCGAGAGGGGCTGCCCCCTCCCTCGGAGACCTTCTCCTGGGCTTTTCACATCTGCCTGGAAGAAGGACTGCTAGAGTAGAAGACTCTGGAAAATGGAGGCCAGATGGACACCTCCCTGCCCCCCACCACAGGCTCACTCCTGTTCAAACACTCTAAGCCACAGGCTTGGTCAGGGGCACAGCCAGTCCACGGGAAGCCTTTGTAAGGACTAGGGTAAGGACCCCTTTCCTCAGACTTGACCCTCTTCTGCCAGAAATTGTCATACTTATACAACTTGGCCACATCCGTAGTATAAACAGTGCTCCCTGCATGTAGCACCTTTGTGCAGTGCACGCCCTACACGGCAGTCTTGGCTGGGTTGGAATATGATGGGCAGGTCTGCTGCTGCCCTGACCTCTGGTCTTCTTCCCTAGGGAGGAGTGACTTGGGTCATCTGGGGCCTCAATAAGGGGTTCAAGACCCCCTTGGTGGAGCAGGCTGAAGGGCCAGAACAAGAGGAAGACCCAGGGTGGAGGTAGAGAGATGAAAAGAAACAGAAGAGGAAGGGAATCAAGTGAAGCAGGGGGACCAGGAGGTGGCAGGAGGCAAGGGATGCTAAGGTCACCATCTACGTCCACCTCAAGAGCAAACTTCATCTTGAACCAGCCAGAGAGGGCACTCAGCCACCTGGCGCTCTGGCCACACCCGTCCAGAAGAGTCCACGTCTTCAAAGATTTCATATGCATCAAACGAAAAGAAGCCACTGTGAGCAGAGGTGACCAGGGAGAGGAGGTGGCCGGTGGGTCTGGGTTCGTCTGTGGTCTCAGCCAACATGGAGTACAAGGTACCCTGATCTGCCTAGAGGTGTTCCCCTCAGAGCTAGCCAGGGTCCAGGGACCAGGCAGGAGGTCCTCGGGGCCATGTGCAGGGCTCCTCGAGCTGGTCCACAGTGCTCAGGTATGGCCCAGGCCAGATGTGGCGGAGGGAACCCCTCTCCCCAAACAGCGACCACATCGGCTCTCTTGCACTCTTATCCCAGATTCTTAAGGTCGAGGGAAGAAGACAGCGATGGAGTTTAGTCCTTTTCCTTCTGGGGCTGCTGGGCAGGATGCCGGAGGCCGTCGCAGGGAGACCCATCGATGGAGGGGTGGACGGACACGCGGAGGGGTGGGGGAAGCACCATTGGCCGTCCGAATCAGGCATCGAGACAGACGGACGAGGGGAACAATATTATCACTCCAAGGACCCCATGGGGGCAATACAGCAAATACCATATTAAATAACCCTGTAGGCCAAGCAGAGGGATACAGGGGTCAGAGACAGCCCAGGGGGGCCATCCTATGCTGTATGTCCCCACAACTCTGGCAGGGAGCTGGGGTCAGCCAGCCATCCCTGGTTTCCAGCAGAGCTCAGGGCTGGGGGATGGAGGGGAGCTGGGAAGTCCTGAGATTTAGAACCCCTGTTCTCCCAGGGCACGCTGGGACACAGCTGGGCAGGGGTCTCCAGAGCCCTCCACCCCACTGGCCCCATGGAAGAACTCAGCTGATGACTGGGCAGAGGGGATCAAGGCTTGGAGCCTGGATGTTGACCTGGAAAATACCTCTGCCCCAACCCATCCACAGCCAGGGATAAGGAAACACGGGGTTCTGGGCTTCTGTTTTCCCGACTTGCCCTCACCTGCCCACTCTCTCTTGCTGATGCCCCTAGGCTCCGAGGGTCTCCTTCAGTGCCTTCTTGTCATGTTCATGCGTGTGCTTGAATTTCCGGTGCTTCCCCTTGGGGGGCCGGCGGACTCGCACCATCCGAATGGTCACCCGAGTTTTGGGCGTCTTGGCTGCTCAGGAAAAAGAAAGGTCTCATCAGCAAGTGGATGACCACTGGAGGGGCCGGTCCCTCTTGGCCAAGGCCTGCCACAGACCTCCCCAGATCTTCTGGGCTGAGGAAAGGGGCAGGAGGGGAGTCAGGGGCCAGACCTCCCGGGTTCAAATCTCACCAGCTGTGTAGGCCTTCGGGGCAATGACAGCCTCTCTGTGTCTCAGTTTCTCTGTCTGTGAAATGGGGGTAATAAGACTACCCACCAAAAAGACAGGACCTGACACAGATTCTTTGTCATTATCCTCTGACAAGTAGAGTTTATTTCCCTGTCCCTGGAATCTGGCCTGGACTTGGTTAACCAATAGAAGGAGGCAGGAGTGGTGCTGTTCCCTGCTAAGCACAGGCCTTCAGAAGATCTGGCAGCTCTCACCTGTGAGCTCTGGTGAGCCCTGGGCTGCCACATAAGAAGTCTGGCTGCCCCACTGGAGAGGTTGGGTGGGAACAGGGGCCTGCAACATGGGGAGAGGGAAAGAGGCCCAGCTGTGCCACTCCAACCTCCAGGCAACCACAGCCCCAGCCACCAGCTGACTGTGATGGAAAGAGAGACCAGAAGAACCACCTGCTGAGCCCAGTCAGGCCCCGGAGAGAGAATAAGATGGTTGTTTCCTGAAGCCACTAAACTAGGAGTAAGATCTACAAATGGCAGCTGCTAGGACTCACTTTTTCGTATTTCCTGGGCTTGACCTTCCACTGAGGTTTCCTCCCAACCTCACAGCCCTTTCCGGTCACATGGTGGGAAAGCCACTGGGATCGGGGCCAGTACCATCATCCCACCTTTCATTCGCTGGTGCCTGTTACCTACCTGACCATGGCCACTCTGAAAGCAATGCAGCAGGGTGGGCCACGCTCAGGCCGTGGGTTAGATCACCTGGGGTCAAAGCTGAGCTCCCTTGTGTGTTGTGTGGTTTGGGGGCAAGTCACTGAAATGCCCTGTGCCTCGATTTCCACATCTCTGAAACAGAGATGATAGCAGCCCTGGCCTCCTGGGGTCAGGAGATGAGACAGGGAAGTAGTTGGGACTCAGGAGTATCACTATGCACCTGGTGCTGTCCTAAGTTCATTTACCCTCACAGCAGGGACTGTTGTCCACATTTTACAGATGAGGAAACTGAGGCAGAGAGGCTGAATTTGAACTCAGGGGTCTGCTTCTAGAGTTCACACCTCCAACCACTCAATGTAAAGGACAGGCACCTGTGAGCCTCGGTCACGGAAAGCTCTCACGCTTCTCTCCCTGCTGGGCTCCCAGGCCAACACCCTGGCGGTGACAGCTGCATCTGCCGAGTTTAAGACCAGCCTCTTCCTAGAAGCCTTTTGTTTGTTTGTTTTTTGTTTTGTTTTGTTTTGTTTTTTTGAGTTGGAGTCTCACTCTGTCGCCCAGACTGGAGTACAGTGGCTGCTCCCAGCCACTGCAGCCTCGACTCACTGGGTTCTGGCGATCCTTCTGCCTCAGTCTTCCAAGTAGCTGGAACTACAGGCACGCACTATCATGCCTGGCTAATTTTTTATTTATTGTAGAGATAAGGTCTCGCCAAATTGCCCAGGCGGGTCTCGAACCTGCGGGCTCATGTAATCCACTCACCTCAGCCTCCCAAAGCACGAGATTACAGGCTGAGCCACCGAGCCCAGCTCCTAGAAGCCTTTTGAGCTCTTCCCAGCCTGCCAGGCTCTTGGGTACTGACGCCTGACCTCCCACCTCACAGATACAAGCTCACGCGAGGCAGCTGTCTCATCTCTGCAAACAGGCAGATTTCCTAGCAGTTCAGAACCTGGGTGGGCCTCAGACAGAAAGCACCGGGAGAACCATCAGAGGGCCCAGGGAGTTTCTGCCCCCAAGCCCTGGCCTTCAGCAGGACACTGGGCTGGGAAGCCCAAGCAATGCAAGGCCGCCATGGAGCTCACAAGCGATACATCAAAGACTTGAGCCCACAAGGTCTGACACTGACCACAGTATCACAGGGGACACCACCAAGCCTCAGCCCGGTCCCAGACGGCTGCCTCAAAGACTGTCACGCTCAGCTGAAACACAGAGCCTAACGTGGCAGGACTTTTTATGTCATAGATTTTGTATGTTATCATTGCTTTAATGGGCCTCCCAAGAACCTGGTTTGAAAAATCACTTGAAACACACACCCATTCTCAGCATCAGGGGGAATCTAGTTGTTCCTAAATAGAGAAATCATTCTCCATGTTAACTCTATAAATAACATGTTGGTTGGAAGCTGTCAAACGATCACCTTCCTAGGGCACCCAGCAACTCAGCTCAGCTCTGGGAACAAGATAAAGAGGCCAAGAAATGGCCCCGCCTTCAGGGGCCTGTCAATCAGACATGAGGATGACAGCATTGTCCTGTCTCTAACCATAGAAAGTTACCGAAAATCGGAACAGTCACTGGTGTAATTTTGTTTTTTATTAATGCTCATCTAATCATATCAACTTAATAATTCGATTCTTACTACAGACATGCTAGGGAGAAAAGGCAGTGAGGTACAGCCCAAAGAACCTAGACCTAGACATCACAAGACCTGGGCTCTGGGATACCAGGCTTTGCTGCTGTGCAACCTTTGGTTCAGTCCCTTAACCTTTCTGTGCCCCCGCACCCCCATAAACAACACTGAAGGACGGACTTGCAAGATCATTTCTCCAGCCCATTCTAGCACTAAATTTTAAAAATCCTTTTCAAACAATGACAAGGCAGGTGAGAACCAGAGACAGTTGTGAGGGTGAGGGAAGAGCCCTAACGTGACCCAGGGACCCCTGGACTCCAGCCACGCCCCTGCCTAGGGCTGGCTGTGTAACCTGGGCAAGTTCTCAGTGCCTCTGGGCCTCGGCACCTACTCTGTAAAATGGAGAGATGTGTGGACCACCCCATGCTTGGGTCTCCTGCAACTCAAGTCCGACTATGCCCCAGACTGTGAATCCATGAAATCTAAGGACAAGGACAGAAGTGCAGCCCTATTCACCCATCTGGTTGATGCTTGAACCCTGCCTGTCACATCCTGGCTACATGGTTGCCCAGCTTTGCCTCGCACACTTCCAGTGATGGGGAGCTTCACTTCCTCACAAGGCAGTCATTCCACCTTGGACCCCTGACTGGTCACCAGCTAGCTTTTCTGCCTGTGGGGCTAAAAATCGCTCTCCCGTGGCTTTTTCCAGCTAGTGCTCGCTCTTCCCTTAAAGGCACAAGAAATGGGTATGACTTCTCATCCCCAGGATAAGCAATTGTCAAGTATCTGAAGACGACGTGCAGGGAGTCTTCTCCCGTCCAAGCCGTGATTCGTTCTACCACTCCATGCCCTCATTCAATAAGGAAGGGGGCTATAACAGCAAGACTGGATGGCGTGACCAGGGCAGACTTCCAGGAGGAAGTGGCTTCTGAGCTGAAATTCAAATGAAGAGAAAGAGCTAGGCTTGAAAAGAGATGGGAGAGTGCGTTTCAGACTGAGAAGCATGTGTAAAGGGCCTGAGACGGAAACTTATCTGGTAACTGAAAGATGCCAACCCGGCTAGGGCAGGAGGGAGGCATAAGTGAAGGGCATTGGCTGGCAGAAAAAACAGAAGGCCAGTCAGGGGTCAGTTCTCATCTATGGCCTCCCAGGACAGGGAGGAATCGGGATTTTTCTCAGTGAGGTGGACAGCCTCCCATGAATGGAACCAGGAGCAGGCCTGATCCCATCTCCATTTTTAGACCCGCCCCTGCTCCCAGCTGCTGCAGGGAAGGGGGCTGTGAGCTATGAGAGTCAGAGGCTGACCCTAAAAGACATAAGGTTACCTCGCTGCTCCGGGATGTCCACTGTCTCACAGTAGCACGCCAAGTGGTCCTCCAGTGTCACGGTGGCCTTATTCAAGACTGGCTTCCCCAGCTTAAGCTCGATTTTATTCACCTGGAGGGCAGAACCATGGAAACACCTCTGTAGAGGCCACAGGGACAGAAGCCTCAACGGCCAGCTCTGCCCACCCCAGGCCCCCTGTGTTTGTTCATCTTTCCTCGAAAGCCTGGAGAGCAGCCTACAGGGCAAATGCTTTGGCCCAAACAATAGCAGGACCTCGCCCTCTGCCCTTCTCATGGTTTTCCATCAAAACAAGCCCTCCAGACCTGCAGCCCCCCTCAGGTCCCCCAGGGAGAGAGAAAGCCAGAAAGGCATTTCCGGGTTGAGCCAGGCCCCACGTGTCCTCATTCCTGGAGCGCCAGCCAAGGTCAGGGGCTGCTGCAGAGGAGGGAGATGGTTGTCTGGAAGGAAGTAGTGGGAGGCTCTATCTCGGAGGTGGGAAGGGGAAGTCAGCTGTCAGGTGTCCATCCATAGAGCTGGAAGCATTGGGGACAGGAGATACCACAATAGTGGGCGGTGGGGCAGAGTGACATTTGTAATCTCGGGCTCAGGGCCCAGGCCAGGGATGGAAGGTGAGGAGGAGGCCAGGCTGTGGGCTGACCCCAAGGGAAGGGAGTGTGGCCCAGCAGGTGGAGCACTGGGCGTGTCCAGGGGGCGGTGGCCATGGGAGAGGCGGGCCTGAGGGGTGCAGGGCCCTTTCCTCCTGAATCAAGACACCTGAGGCTTCTCTGGTCTTGCCCCGCCCAGTGTGAGACTAGGGATCGCCTGGGACAGCCTCTACTCCAAAACTCTTCTCGAGTCCGAGAGTGTATCCTCAGACCCTCTAGAAGAGGCAACGGCAGCTCTTGGCTGCTGCCGGGGGCTGTCCCAGCTGCAGCGTCTGTCACCTGGAGGGTCTCTCTACACCCTCCTTTTTAGGGACACAGCTTTTTTTTTTTAGTTGGAGTCTCACTCTGTCGCCCAGGCTGGAGCACGACCACTGTAGCCTCGACCTGCTGGGCTCAGGTGGTCCTTCAGCCTCAGCCTTCCAAGTAGCTGGAACTACAGGAGTACACCACCATGCCCAGCTAATTTTTTTTTTTAATTATTGTAGAGATGAGGTCTTGCCAAGTTGCCCGGGCTGGTCTCGAACCTGTGGGCTCAGGCAATCCTCTCACCTAGGCTTCACAGAGTGCTGGATTATAGGCGTGAACCACCATGCCCAGCAGGGACACAGCTTTTGACAAGCACTTGTCAAAGATGCAGGGGCAGCTCCCTGAGGCTGCCCAGAACATTCCGAGTGTCAAATAGATGTTCAGAGACATGTCTCTCCAAGGGACATGTCCTCTTAACCTTGTGAAGAGGAGGAGTCGACCACCACTGTGTCATTCCATGCCTATCCCAGCCCGGGTCTGCCAGTGGCTTTCGGTGACCATGGCCCAGGGCCACGGTTGGCCTCAGCACACCAACCCGGAGAGAGCCTCCCGAGAGTAGTCCCTGCTGGATGGAGCCCAGGGACAAGCCAGGAACACCTTCTGATCCCTGTGCCTGATCAGCCACAAGGCCCAGAAGGATAACCCCACCCCACCTCAGGACAAGCCTGGTGGACCTTGGGCCTGCGCACCTGGACAGGCCGCAGCTGCACCTGGGTGGGGCTGCATCGCATGTTGCGGGTGTTGCAGCAACCAGAGCAGCGCTGCACCTCCACACAGGGCGGCCACACCAGGAAGTTGGCGTTGGTGCGGTCGACGAGGAGCCGGGAGATCTGGAACACCTCGGTGCGTGTCTTGCACTCTGCAATGATGGCAGGCTCGGCAGTGGCCGACGGAGACGCTGCAAGGAGAGGGAGCCTCCGTCAGGAGCATGGCCCTGCCTAGAGCACCGCGCCTTGCAGGAGAGCTCAGTGGACACCCCGGGGGCTGCTCTTTCTCACTTCTTCAACCCCAGGGTTTCAAGTCCTGGCTGCTTCAAGTCCAAGCCATGGGACTCGGGCAGGTGGCTGAGCTGCTCTAAGCCTCAGTTTCCCCACCTGCAAAATGGGGATGATGAGATCTACACCCAAGAACCGCCATAAGGATCAAGTGAGATAATTCAGAGAGCATAGCATGTCGCAAATGCTCGGTAAATGCTCCCTTCCGCTGCCATGTGCCATTGTATTATTCTTTATGGTTTCACAGAGTTATGGGTATGCCCGGCATGTGGGCCTTACGATCGTATTATCTTGTAAACATTCTTGTTTTGCTGTTGTACACTGTAATCTGTTCTTACATCGTTGCTTCTTTCGAGGCCTTGGCTTCCTCATCCGTGAGATGGGAATCTAAGGCGTAATGTGAGTGAATACTAGCCTGTAGCAGGCACTGGGGCAGCCGTCATTATTCGCCTCCAGAAGAACCAAGGCTCTGAGAGCTCCATTAACACACCCAAGTCACAGGTTGAGGAGCGGCATTCCAGTCACCTGACTCTCATCCACCGTTCCCCCAGGCACCATCTACAATGTTTTCAGGACTACAGGTGGGCAAGTGGGGCTGGGGCGGGCCTAGCCGGTAGACCTCGTGACTACAGCCTCCTTCTGGGCTCTGTGAGGGAGCAGGTGGCATCCCGGCTTCACTCCAGGCCCACTGTCCCAGGCCACACCCTTGACCGTGGCAGAGACCAGAGGCCTAACAGGATAGCACTGGGCTCAGGTGGGAGGAGGCAGCTGGGATCCCAGCCCTCATACTTCCTAGCTGTGTGACCTCGCCAACTTTTTACCCTCTCTGGGCCCCGGTTGAAATTCCATTAGTAGGATCTACCTTCAGCATCGAATAAGGAACAAATGAGTTTCAAAGCACTATATTTAGAAAACAGATAGTGTGGGGGTGGGGATGACTCAACTCAAGACGGGGCATTTAAGGATGGTTACACTCTCTAGTTTCACTCAGTCCTAAATGTGGGGAGAAGGGAGTTTTAGGGTGACCCTCGGAGCCCTCTGATGGGCCACCAGTCCCAAGTCTCCCCTCCTGGCTCCCATCCTTACCCAGGCTCCTTCTGCCACGAGCCAAGCTCCCCGAATGGGAGCGGGTCATGTTCAGGTCCAACTCAGCTCCATCTTCCTCTGCAGGAGAAGGCATAGTTACTCAGTGGCCGCCGCCAGGTGGCCCCATGGGCGGGGCTCCAACAGGCAGAAGGCTCATCTCTGCCTCCTCCAGAGAACAGGGACACCACCCCCCACCCACCCCCCATCCCCGCTGCACGCCTGGCTGGGCCCTGGAAACCCGGAGTCTCGGCTCTGCAGAGGGGCCGTCCAGGCAAATCTTGGGGCAGCCACAGGGTTCAGGGGGTGGTGGTGGTGGTCCCTGACTGCATCCCCCGGTTCTTTGGTCACATTTTTGGCCAGAACCCATGTCAGTCGAGTTAAAAATAACCCTTCCCCTTTGCTACTATGAGCAAACCCTTCTTGGCCTCCAGGGTGGGGCAAGGACCCGGAGCGCTGAAGGCCAGTTTCCAGTACCCCTCCACCCCGCGTTCCCATAGGAAGTGCTGAATGGAGAAATTCCCAGAATCCCCAGGGGGGCCGGCGTGCCCTGGACACAGCCCCTCCGGAGCCCCCGGACAATGGCCCTGCTGGGCGGGCACAAGGGAGGGAGAGGGACGGGGGTGGGAGCCGAAGACAGAGAAGAGGAGTGGGGAGCCTGGCCTGGGGGTGGGGGAGCTCCCGCCTCATGCCCCTCTGGGGCCTGGCCTCTCTCTAGCTCCCTGTCTCTCAGCCTGAGACTCTATCTCCCTCCCCTTCTCTGACCTGTAGTCCCATGGCTGCCCCAAGTTGTCCATTTATTCCTGTAGTCACAAATGGAGCTCCTTTCTCTGGCCTGGGCACATCTCAGTGCCACCAGGGCTCCTTGAGGTCACTGGCCCTCTCTAGAGACGGTAGTCAGATGCTGGCTGCTGGGAAGGAGGGCAGGGAGGCCTTTGAGCTAGACGTTGAACCCCAGGCAGACCCTTCTACCCTTCTGTCTCTCTCACAGGTGAGAAGCCGACCAATGAATGAAGGGGTGTTGGGGACAAGCTCCTGCCCTCTCCCGACCCACCGGCCCTGCCAAAGACAAGGCTCCTGCAGCCACGGCCTGCCTGTCCAGGGTCCTGCGGGACCTGGGGACCAGTCCACTTCTGTCTAGCCTGACAGTCCCTGTCAGCATGTCTGTCTGACCCTTTCTTTCTCCCCACCATCTCTGGAATGTCCCTGGTGGGGAGGGGACAGTAAAGAGATGAGCTTTGGGGAAAGGTTCAGTCGATTAGGAAAAAATAGCCACATGGCTGCCTCGAAACAGGCCTGCTATTGAAAGCCTCAGCTCCAAGATCCCGACCCCACCAGGGGCGTGGAGGGGCCGGCAGAGGGTGGGGGCGAAGGCCTTGGAAAGACGTGGCAGAAAGGCTAAATTTGGAGGTTGCCCCATTGTGTGGCCCAGACCGGCCAGTCGGGCACGGGGTGGGGGTGGTGGGAGCCATGGGGTGGGGGCCCTGGCGAACAATAGGTGGGCCCAGCTGGGGCCCCCTCCTGCCTGCCTCACCACCCCCCAGCACGGGCAAGACTGAAAGGGCCCGGGAATGCTTTTGAGAGGGAGCCAGGGGCCCAACGGGGAGAGGAAACAAAGGCAGGAAATGCTGTTCCCCCGTAGATAGCGTCTGGGCAAGGATTACAAAGTGACAAAGAGACAGAACCCCAGAGGGAAGGGGACCTGGGGTGCAGGGGGGGTGCTGACCAGGGCTCCGGGGAACGGGCCAGAGGTTAGAATAGAATGGAATTTGCTCTGAAGACAGCGTTTATAAATACATTCCCAATCCAGCCCGCCAGTCGCGCCACGTGTGTGCCACCAAGCACGTGCCCACTCGCTGAGTGCGCTCTCGGGCATGGGCAGGGCTGCCTGGTGTCCCCAGGAGACCTCGTAGGCTGGGCCCTTAGCCAGAAGGGCGGGGAGATGGCTGCCGGGCACCGCCCTCCCTGGTTGGGTCTACACCTGGATATACACTCGGCAGAGACTCTGGGCATCTCCTCCCCGCCCG